GCCGTTGTAACGTCACTTCAATGCGCGGTGGTAACGTTACTGCACTGCGCCGTTGTAACGTCACTTCAATGCGCGGTGGTAACGTTACTGCACTGCGCCGTTGTAACGTTACTGCACTACGCCGTTGTAACGTCACTGCACTGCGCCGTTGTAACGTCACTGCACTGCGCCGTTGTAACGTCACTGCACTGCACCGTTGTAACGTTACTCCATGCGCCGTTGCGGCAGAATAAGCTACCATCCTCCTCATTTCGCGCTCGGCCACTTCGCTGTTGTTTCTGTATCGTCATATCATCGGCCAATATCTTTAGCCGAACACAGGCTACATCGGCTCTCTCATGGTGCCCTACTGTCAGTTAAATGAATGTGATATATTGTACAAATAGCGAGAAGCTTTATGTACATAGCACTGATATTCCCTTTTCCAAGTAAAACAGAGAGGGATATTTTTACCCTGCCCTTCTGAGGGATATTTTTACCCTGCCCTTCTGAGGGATATTTTTACCCTCAGAAGGGCAAAAATGCATCGCTATTTAGACAAGGTCTCATTTATTTCATGCAGTGCGCCGATTTTCTGTACGTCAGTCCACTCGATGCGCCTGAATGCGATCTTGATTTCCCCTAAGAAAGCGAACTCGAGACTCGATTGTGTATGTATATCCTGCTAGCACGAGAACGGACACGCTATTGCAAGCTTTTATTATTTGTCTGTTGAACTATACTAAGCCATCTGCTACGTAGAAGTCCTAGCGGAACTGTTCCAATATAATGAGTTTCTTGTTCGTCTTTGTGGTGGTGTGCTGCTTGCGAAGATCGTATTGTTCGAGTGAATTCAAGCTATTGAGGCCCTATGTTCTGCTACGTTTTTCTTGAGTGAATATTGTCCGTCAATGTTACTGTTATTAGGTGTTTGGTGCGTTCACCTTCAGCTGACGAGTCACGTGTTTAGATGGATAAACATTATCTTGTTATCATGTGCATTACCAAACTTACGATTGACTTGCCAGGACATACGCTTGATACGTGAACTGATGGCGGCCATTTGCTCTATCAATATTTTTTGTAAGACTCGAAGTAAATTGGTTTGAGAGCCTCCTGTTTTGTGTGTTAATAGCCTTCTGGGGATTTTGCAGTGCTCGTTATGATACAAATATGTTTATTTATTAACAGATCCTGCCAACATATAAAAGTTCAATTACATTTTGTGCAAAATATTCTTTCATAGCAGGTATTAACAAACCCGGAAGTGTTCGTTTGCTAAAGTCGATTTCCAACACAAATGCTAGCCCCCCAACCTCAATTAGTAAGCCATCATCCACCACCCCAACCCCAACCTTAACTCCAGTAAGCTGAGATTATGCTAGGCAGCTTATCGCCGCGCCAAACCCATACTGTTGTCCGTTATCTGAATGCTCCGTCGAACTGGTGCCCTTGACTTGATTGTTCTCACTTTGAACAATCGATAAGTATAGTGCGTAAATTTATTATTAAAAAAATTTGCTTCATGATTGAGGGCTGAAACAAGAAGCTCTAGATTATTCCATTGGCCATCAGTTGTCTTAAGCACAGCCCCTTAAGCCAGTCTACGGACAACCAATTTCTGTCCATAGCCTTCTGTTCGAAACTTGTAGTACCGTCCTCAAGTACCGTGTGAATCGAAGCCGGGATGTGACGTATTTTTCAGTTACAGAATAATGGTTAGCATGGTACACTTGCCGCTGCAATCATCGCCATAAATTGATTTCTCTAAGAATTTCGTTAATATTTGCTTCTGCAATCAAGGCACACAGCAGGTTTGGAGAGGAGCCATTTGTCCCATGTTCAAGCTGGTAATCTAATCGATTAAACTGTTATTGATGTTCCGTCTGTTATTGGCGACGATGCCAGCTGTTCGTGGCGACGGTGCAACCTGTTAGGTATATGCGCTTCTGCACGACACCGTAATTCACTCACCGAGAAGGAAAGTTTGTAATGATGTTGGAGTGGCGACTTTGTTATTCTTTCTTCATGATTGTGTCGCAGATGAAGCTTTCGCCTTTCCGTTCACGTTGACGTCACTCATTTCTCATTTCCCATCTTGAATGGAAACGTAAGCGTAGCTGGAGTATAAATAATTTAAAATCGATTATATTTAGAAGAAGAATTGTGAATGTGAATTCGAGTAGCAGCTTCAAACTACTGTCAACGGGCCGTCTCTTTTCGGAGTGTTGACCTCGCTCCTTTCATTCGAATATTAATTCATAAATGCTCCTGTTTTAAAACAACTTTCATGGTTTAATTGTAATTCATCTCGGTTATTTTTTGGAGACGTTCATTGCCTTGATTGAAATGACCTTTGAACCGACATGCATTATTTACCAAAAACAAACCGGATTATGTGCCAAATTGGACTAAGAGTCGCTGGTAGTTCTTTCCGTGCGCATAAATTATTGGTATTCTTGTAATGATGAGTCCAGGAATGTTTGAGATGATTATGTGAACAACAGTGTTAACAATATATGCATTGCTGCGGTGGCCACTGCGCGGTTGTGCACACCGATATTTCTGCGTCAAGTCACCGCTTCGGTGCAAAGGTTTGTTGCTGCACAATCGTCTCCTTCGATTAAGTTGCGCAGATCTTTAGTTTCGCTTCATCGTCGCTTACGCTACGTCCTTGACTCTTTTGGCTTCGTGCGCCAAGTTACCGAGAAAATTGCGTTGGAGACTTGCCGCGAAACAATGCTCCCCTCGCAATTCTTTGTCACATACATCGGCAGGATCATAACTTCACAACACGACCTTCAAATGCTTGCTCATATGAACGTCTGAAAAGTTTCCGTTTCCTTGATCGGTACTTGATTTCTAGAAGGCGATTGTGTCGCAGGCTATACACGCACTCGGCCGTATTAAGCATGGTACCGGAAGTTTAATATTAAAACAACGTTTGGCCGACCGTTTATGGTGTGGTCATCAGAAATGTAAACGCCATTTACTGGGCTTCAATATCTATTAACACTAATTATTATTAACGTGCAGCGGGCCGGCGTTATTACCTCTGATCAACGAAAGTATTTTATTTTTTTTATTTGATCAACTATTTCTAAATATCAGCACTACATGTTATTTTGAAACCAGAAAAATCAAAATCGAAGTATCAGCTACTGATTCCAAAAAAGTTATTTTATTGATTGATGTATTCGTTATGATCGAAGTCTCTGTCGAACAACAGATCGGTGTTGCCAGTAGCATAGGAAGGCGCTGTGCCGTATATGGCTGCTGTGCCGCATTTGCTCTATGAGCAGAACAGCGTACCATTCATTACTTTGGTGCACATCAAATTGTTTATTTTTTAGCGCATTTTCTCATTTATAGAAAAAAGGCGCTATTGTGCTCGTCATGTCCGTCTGTCTGTCCATCTGTCCGTCCGTCTGTGCGTGATTTCACATTTTCGTCGACGAGAAAATGCGCTCTCTGTCACTCACTGCAGTGAGTACTGAGTTATATTTTTTTCTGTGATGGTTAGTTAAAATTGCTGTTCTCGTCTCATGTACACCGTCAAGCCTTCTCTGCGTACACGGTTTCCAAACGTTAGAATACTGCATTCCGGTTATTATAAACACTTGCCCGCGACCATTTGGATTTACGAACAGTGCTCATGAACGTCGGCTGCTATTATTCTATTGGCAGGAACCTTGCGAACGCTCGGAGAATTCAGTGTTTGTTGCGCGTGTTGGGTAAACGGCTAATCAAGGGAGAATTCGAGCGGCCGTTATTGAAGGAGACATTTTTCATGTTTGATTCAACCTATTTTTGCATAATATTCACAACAATTCAAAGAAATATTCCAGTGTGTTTGAAAATTAGTATAAAGCTGTGTAAGTCTGTTCTTAGTTTGTAAGCAATGTACATATTGTGGCATGAAAAATTTGGTAAAGTGGAAACGGAGGAACTCTGCCATTGCCGAAAGAGTCCTAAATGTGTACCGATGACGTCATCAGGAGCACCAATGACGCCACAAAGAGTATTGATGACATATAAATGCGTACCGATGACGTCATAAGAAGTATACCTACGACGTCATAAGGGGTAGCAATGACACCACAAAAGTATCGATGACGTAATAATGCGTAGCAATGACGTCACAAGGAGTACGGATGATGTCATAAGGAGTACGGTTGACGTCATTTCATCAGCGCTGGCCGTCGACCCGACGCAATGTCACTGACGAGCTGATCGTCGACGTGCTCTCTGTTTCCATTATGACTTGTAAAGAATTATTAATATTATTGTTAAGTTTTTCAGATGGACTTGGACAGTTGAAAATGTCTTATCAGGTGGCACAAATAGAAGACAGTTCCTGGTCAACCCTTCCGTAAATTGCATTATTTTAGTGGGAACCTCTTGGAATGTTCGACGTACGTATATGTACTCAGGCACTGTGAACGCTGGTCCCTCCTGTGTGTTTTCTAATGTTTTCGGCTGATTAAAACGTGTACAAAAAATACTCGCCTGGTGTAAAGAGATGTCAATAAGCAATGAAAGCTGATATTGTAAACTCGATGTCTTGTCATTATAAGTTTTATTCATGATAGCCTATCATTTCATCTACGTTTTGTGTTGTGATTGTTTGGTTTTGTTAAGCAACCAAGATTGCCATGGTTTGTTCTACGATATGCGCCGTAGTTGCCAGTATCGTCTTCAGTGTTGATAGTTTACTGTGGTTAGTGCGGCTGAAATGTTGCCTTGTTATGACCTCGTCTGAAGGCTTGTTACTTTCGTAATAATAAACCTCGTGACTCATTCTATAATTATTGAGCCTATGAATTTTTTATTCATTTTATGAAATAGGTAAATAATTCATTTCCTGTGACATTTAATGGCTTTGTTTCACCTACTGTTGTATCTTCCTGGCTTTGGCGCGCATCGTCACGCCTACAAACCCCGTAGCGTAGCACGATGTAAAGGCGCGTTTATACATGGGGCTATAGTATACGGGTCGGTCATGTCAGTGCATTGTCAGACTTCATGGTGAGAGGTGCGTGCTCAGATTCCTTCGTCTGTCGTGACTTGGACCAACGTTCTTTGGACTCGTCAATATCCTATACGTTTACAAATGTGTTGAAAAAAATGTTTGCCTAATAGGATGTGAAAGTTCTGTGCAACGAATCTTGTTGCTAATTATCAGCTTTTGCTCTAATAATCCGCGTCCTAGAAGAAATGAAATACATTCACAAAATGAGGTGGGTTAATTGCACACAGAATATTTTATTGTGGTAAATTTGCGGTGATAATAGCGTTATAGTTCGGTCTCAGCCCATCACGGCAAGAACTACTGGTTAATATGCTTTTGTTCGTAAGGAAGATGATGCAACCGATGTGCAAACATCATCACATTTGTAATCTATAAGTTTATGACGCTCGCTAATAATGTCATTGAACCCTAAAGTCTTGAAGTTAAGGATACGCGCACTTTTTGACCGAAGTTTTTGACTTGAAATTCGCAAGAAGAAGTTCAATATTTACCGGATCTTTCTTAAGCTCGCTACTTGTGACGGTGATGACATCTGCGCTGCAACCAAGCCTGATGCTCGAGCATGCTAATTAGTTATCCGCTATAATGATCACTGGCCACCTAGCATTTACCTGCACGGTAACGCTGCTGCACTTGCTAATTGTGCTGTCTGCCTAGCGAGTCTGTTACCTTGCGAAGAAATATAACCCTGGCTGCTCTCTTTATTCGCTTGCATACATGCGATGCTAATAGCAGATACCCATTGATTTTAGCAATTTATACCTTTTTAGCGTATTTTCACATTTATGGAAAAAGTGCACTATTGTGCTCGCCATGTCCGTCCGTCTGTCTGTCCGTCCGTGACTTCACGTTTTCGTCGACTAGAAAATGCGCTCTCTGTCACTCACTGCAGTGAGTACTGAGTTATATTTTTTATGTATGGTATCGGGAAAAGCATTTAGTCATTAATGTGCCGCTACTATTGATAAAACTTCTTCTGATGAGTGAATCACGGAAACAGGACGAATAAGGCGTTGACGTTACACATAGTAATAAGGCTCTTACAACAGCTGCCTGATCTCATGACAAGCTCGACTTGTCGACACACACCTCGATTATTATTGTAGCTCAATGCTATTTATGCGTGCCTCGAGCCTGACAGTTAAGCGTTGTACATCTTGACGAGCGCAAACTGTGTACCGTTAAGCGCCTGTACAGTGAGATTGCGCGCGAACTAGAGCGCACCGTCCTGAACAGCGTGTTGAGATCCTCTTGTTGTATTTTGTGAACGCGTCTTGTGTTCTGATGGAGAATCTGCATATAGTGCAATCATGTTAACTCAGGCATTAATTTTGTGGGCTCTGGCATCTGCCGTGCGTTTTATTCTCTGCATACTCATCCAGCAGGAATCGTGTGTTCTCTGGCATCCAGCATGCATCTTGTATTCCCTGGCATCCAGCATGCATCTTGCATTTTCTGGCATCCAGCAAGCTTCGCTGGACTCAGAAATCTAGCATGCATCATATGAGTGCTCTCGCTTTTCTTGTCGCGTTTACCAGACGTCGAGTCGCTCATAAGCGTGACGATGTGTGGTCATCTGCTTCTCGTCGTGAAGCTAATGGGCAATTTGCGTCTTGTAGCTAGAAATTGAAAAAAATCTTTGTTATTGACGCTCTCTTAACTGTTTTTAGAGATTTGCCGTTGTTTGCTCAATTTGTTTTGTTTTATATATAAATGCAATGCCGTGTGCTTGCTTCATGTTGACTTATCTGCTTTGCGTGCAATTAAGGTTTCCCTGAATAATGGGCGCGATACTTGTGAGAGTTTTGCCGTCTATAATTTATGAGAGCTACCGTTCATTTAGAACCACATTGAGTGAATTATGAGTCGTATTAATTTAATGTCTAGGTATGAAACCCACTTGAAACTAAAATTCGTGTCTTAAGTTGCCTGAACATTCCAGGTGCCTAAGGTAAACTTACTTTTTCGCAGAGTTAATAAAAGCGAAACTACAGCAGGTGTCCTTATAATTAAATTTTCCTTTAACTGATCTAATTATTTTTAAGGCATTTTTGAAATATCTCTCATGTGTTGCTTAAGTTGAAGAGCACACCCGTAAAACGATTCGGTTTCTGAACCTTTTGTCAATAACAAAATATGCCTCGACTGCGAACGAGCTATGTTCTCTCGTCCACCTGCATGTTCAAGACTGTCAGTGGCAGGAACAACAATTAAAGAGCCACCCTCTTCGACCTTCGTGAGAAAATATTATTAGGGATCGCTAGGCAACATGTTCCAGGAGTTCATTTTAGGCTCCGTTTGCTGCCGAATTGATGAACCATTTTCGGTCTTTATCGTGCGACACTGCGGTATGAACTGAGCTGCATGTCTAAAGCTGGAACTCATGGCTAGCTCTTGTCATCTCGGTATCGTTATCACTGAGATACAATGGCTCAAAAATTTGCCCTCTACGCTGGAAATCGAACCCTGTTCTCCTGCATTACTGGCAGGGATAGTCACCATTGTATACTAATTTGGACTCTTCCTCCTACAGCTTTGGACGCAACCTTCACCTGCTGCGGTTTGGCGAATTTAAATCGAATGCGGGCTCTTGTAGATCACGTGCATTATGTGTACTTATGATTTGTATGCCTGCTTTCATCGCATTCATCATCCTAATGCTCCTGGTCAAATATAATAGCTTCATATACTTTGGAAGTGAAGCCGCTTAGGCAGTTCATTAATAAATTCTATGCAGTCGTCTTGCTTATCCACGTATCCCAAGCCTGAAATATGATATCGATGGGGAGATGTACGTGCGATTCCACAGAGTTAAATATAATATTTTCTGGAGCTGGAAAAAATTCCGATTGTTACATTCATGTGATGTGTTATTTGTGAGGTCGGATATTGAGGCTACCAAGATTCTTATTTTCTTCCGCACTTTCGTCGAAACCGAAAAACCCTGTGTACTCCTGCTGGGTAGAGATCTCCTAATAACGTGCGTGATGCACCTTCGATAAAAGTGCATTTTAAAAGTGCGTCAAGACCGCGCTCATCTGCCGTGTGCTATGTGACTGTAAATACTGTTGCTATTTGTCCTCGCAGCGGCTGAGCTTTGAACTGCTGCATACGCACTCAATTTGACCATCTATTAGTAGGGGGTGTGAAGAGATGAACGCTTAATAGCTCTGCAATTTAAAGGGAATCGTTTTGTGTTGCCGTGTACGATAAATTTGTTGGTTCAGCTGTACTGAAATTTGTACTGAAATTTGAGGGCTGAAAAGTTGCGAACTTCTCTGAGTGTCCGTATATTTGATAAGGCAATAATTGCTATCTGTACGTGTATAAAGCTATTTTTTCAATGGGCAGCGCGAGCGAATTTTTTTTGTATTAGTACTTGCACGAGCCGTTAGAACTCGGTTAACTATATAGGTACAGTTCAATGAACAACCTTTTACAAGAAACCCAGCAATTTCAATGATTTGCAATCAATCGAGGCTTCTTGAGAGGTGAGCAACTTGACTGCAATGTAACAGCAATAGCCATTGCACTACTGAGCCTTCATGCTCATGGCGTCCGATTGAAATCTGTGAACGCCTAATCTGTAGCATGATAAGGAGGGGGGAAATTGTTCGTATGCTGCGTTGCCTGCAGCGTTTGAGGTCACGTAGTTTTTCTGCTTGGTTGATCGAACGGCTTGGGATTAGCGTTCACTAAATGGCCACTTCTAATTCGCCTTCGATTCTTACCTTGACGATAACAAAGAACTTGCCTGTCTGAGCAAGTCAGGCGCAGATCTGGCGTTAATCTGAACGAGAAAAAGTCTTTGTTTGTACAAAGAACTTCCTTCACTGTTTTGCTCTTTCCTGTGTTTTGGATTGTGACTTGATTTATGAATTAACGATTCGCACGAATAACTGGACAAGTCTTGAGCAATGAATAAACTATAAATAATTGGGTTGAATTTTCCTTGAATTACATGCGTGTAATCTCAATATTGTCTTTCAATTTTAAAACCGTCTAACTGGAACCACTCTGGTGCGATTCATGCAAGGAACTCGTAGCTCCGATAGTTTTACCCACTATGCTAAACAATTCGAAAATCGTTTCGTCTCTGAGCGCCACGTATACAGGTGCTCTGAGGTTATTACTTCGCTTCTGACGACACCGTAGAACTATTTCAAACAGAACGTACGCCTTATTTTTAGACTGCCATTTCACTCTTAGAGGCACGTACTAATAATAATAATTGTCCATTATAAATGAGCGTTGCCAATCCTTCTGTATTTTCTCTATAGTGCAAGTAATTACAGGGTACTGATTTCGGTGTCAATTTTTGTTCGTGACGCGCAGTAACGGATATTGGGGGGTGCTGCTGCGTGCACGTAGGACATTGCGACACTGTAAGCTTGTCTGTAGCTTTTGTAACTGAATATTGCTATAGAATTAAATTGTCTTTTATTTAGACTGTTCAGGTGGATAGAGAAATTCAGATGTTAAATTCAAATTTCATTGGTTGCATGTATTTTCTCTTGCCTTATGTGTGCAACAGTCTTGTATCCGTCTAAGAACATCCACAAGTTGCACTTCCTCTTGCTGTGTGAAAAAACCGCTTTGTATAGAATTGAATGAATCATCACTTGCAAACGATACTTTTGACATAATTGAGACTTATACAGATTACCATTTTTATCAAGACGGAAAAGGATTCCCACCGTGCAACGCACGTTATTCACGAGCAACACACGCTATTCACGCATTGTCTTGGTGTTCTTGCTTCAAGAAATAACTTTTGCGCCGCGTCCCTATAATTTTTTTATATTGTTTATACCAGATTTTGATCTCGCTGTCAATCTCGGCTTTGAGGCGCCATGACTGTGTGACTGTAGTTAACTCTGCATGTAAGACCAAAATTGACCAAGCTTAGAATTACTTAGGGATGAGTGTAGAACCTTGTCCGCCCATGCATTCTAGAGTTTATCCGTAGCTGTCTTTCTATTCAACACATAATTTGTTGCAAACAGTTACACACTAACTTTTTAGAATATGTTAGAGACTGCCGGCTCCATTATTTTGATGTTTTTTACTCCAAATGATTACCCAAAACAACTTCCATTGTATGATCCCATTAAACGAAGCGCGTAACCGCTCGGGTGCTGTATTTCATTGAGTGCTTAGGCAATTGTATAGTGTGGTGGTAGTAAGGTAAAGCCTGTATATTGCACT